TCGCTGTCATCCACTGCTGAGGGCACCAGGCCCAGCAGGATGCCATCTCCCGGGGCAATGCAAGGGTGGATGCCGCCGCAAAATCCTTGACCAGCACCAGGTTTGCCCCCACTCTGGTCCTGTTCCTCACCACGGCCACGCCACTGGTATACTCGCTGTCAGAAAAACAGGCCCTCATAGTAAGAGGAGGAACCGAGTCTGATCAGGGCTGGATCTTCCTAAACAACAAGTTCGCCCTTCCACGGGAACAGGCCCCAAAAATTATTACTGAGATCCACCAATCCTTGCATATTGGGCCCAAGGTGTTGCACCGTTTTGTGCAGCCCCTCTTTTTCTCACCGGGTCTGCAACAAACAATTGAGCAGGTACACGAGGCATGTGTTACTTGCTCTAAGATCTCGTCTCAGGGAGGCTTAAAGCCACAGTTCCCACCCACCAGATGCGTGGCAACCTGCCGGCCCAAGACTGGCAAATTAATTTTACCCATATGCCCACTCACAAAAAACTCCACTACCTCCTCACTTTTGTAGATACTTTTTCTGGATGGATTGAAGCCTTTCCCACCTCCAGGGAAACTGCGAATACGGTAGCCTCCCTCTTGGTTCAGGGAATCATCCCTCACTTGGGCACCTGTAACCATCCAGTCAGACAACAGTCCAGCATTTGCAGCCCAGGTGGTCGGGCCCCCACATTGTCGTCTTAACCACCCCCACAGCCACCAAACTCCTGGGTCACACTCCGTGGTATTGTGTGTCCTGCCTCAAGCTGGCCCCTCAAAATGATCAATGGAGGTCCGAACCCTTGGGCCCCACTCGCCTCCGTCTCACCCGGGTCCCCTACCCATCGCCCTCTAACCCTCCAGGACCTCCTCTTAGTAGCTCTTCTAATAACTCCCCTTAAAGCCAAGTCATATGTTTGACGCTTCTACCTTCAGGAATCCTGGACTGAAGGCCCCGCAACCAAAACCCAATACCTTGCCCAGACTGCCAGCCCGTAGGCTGCCAGTCAGCCATAGCGTTCGAGTTCCGAGCATCAAAGTCCAAAATTCTTTACTCCTGGGGTAACGCAGCCCTATGCTTTCTGTATGACCAAACCCAGGACTACTGTCATTGGTGGACCACCACCCACGGTGGATGCCCATACAATTCCTGTGTCATGCACAGAATGAGAGGGGGAATACTTACCACTGACAGCGCAGGTAAGGTATTCCTTGCCATCTGCGACCCCTGGAATGGCCGCTGGGAAAAAGGGACCACAGGTAAAATCTACAACTCAGCTACAGATAGCCACCCTAGTGGCACATGGCTAATATTCCGGTCATATACCCGCCTCGTGCCTGTGGAAATAGACCAACTCAGCCGGTTAGGCAACACCGTCCTACAGAATGAGGCCACCTTAACTAACCAACTCAGACCCCCAAGCAACACTCCCCAACCTTTCTCCTGGTTAACTCTAGTACAGCAAGGTGTTAACATGTTAAGCTTAACCAAGGCCATAAATTTCACTAATTGCTTCCTATGTGCCTCCCTTAATGGCCCCCCCCTTAGCCGCAGTTCCCCTCCGGGCTGGGTTCAACCTGTCACAATCACCTACGGGACCTAGCACCACCTTAGCACGTATCCCCTTGTTCAAAGTACACTCCCAAAATCTCTCCCTGCTATGGGATGGCCAGCAGCTTCAGCCTTGGCTGTAACGCCTCAGTAAAAGTAAATTCTACCCTTTACGCGCCTCCAGGAGGATACTTTTGGTGTAATGGAACCTTAACCAAAGTTATAAATGCCTCCCTCCCCTTCTCCTGTGTGCCCGTCACTCTAGTCCCACAGTTAGAAGTATAAGGGCAGGCTGAGCTCTTATCCCTTACCCCACCTCCCCC